CCGCAAGCTGGGCATGTACCCTGACCGGGAATTGGACTGTGACCTCTTGGTTCATAAGTTGACACTCAACCACTGAGCCATGCCAGCCGGGCAGTAGTGTGCTTTTAAGAAAGGGAAATATGAAATATTATGACAGCGGTTGGTGAGGGGAGGCCTTCCTGAGGAGTTGACTTTTGAGCTGAGACCTGAAGGTGAAAGGGGAGCCACTGGGATCTGGGCAGGATAAACAGCCGGTGCAAAGGCCCTGAGGCAGGAATGTGTATGGAATGTTTAGGGGACAGCGAGGAGGCCACTGCGGCTGGAGCACCATGGGCGAAGGGTAGAGAGGGAGGTCACAGGCAGGGCCTGGTGGGCTGCAGCGAGGACTCTGGCTTTTCCTCTGAGTGAGTTGGGGGCCATAGAAGGTTCTGAGCGGACGAGGGATATGGCCTGACTCAAGTGTTTACAGGCTCCCTCTGGCTGCTGAGGGGCAAACAGACCGAGGGGCAAAGACAGGAGCCAGGGACCAGGGCAGAGGAGAATGCACTGGTCCAGGCAAGTGATGAGGGGGGCTGGCCACAGACGGGCTGAGAAGTGGGCCAATTCTGCATAGATTTGAGCAGTGAGGCTGCTGTGAGGTACAGTGGGAAAAGCAGGGTCAATGAGAACCCCGCCACTTGGCGTGTGCGTTGTTACTAGGCCAACGTGTTGAAAGTCCAGCCCTCCCATGTCATCCCCGTGAAGCACAGGTCATGGTCACTAATGTCCCCCAGCACCTACCACAGAGCCTGGCTCACAGAGGCTCTCAGTACTGTTGATCCCTGCGATTCTTTGTCTGCCGTCTCTTTTGGGGTGTCTCTCTCTTTAGTGTCCTCTATCTGTCCCTCATTTCTGACAGGAATTCCCATACCTCCCCCCTCCCCCGTTCCTCTTAACCTCCCCAATGCCATCTCAGCCCCCCTGACCCCGGTTCCTGCCGCCCCTGCAGCCTCGAGGGGGAGAATGGAAGTGAGTGCCTGGCCAGCCTGGGTGAGGGGATGATGGCTGTTTGCAGCTGGTCACACACCCTTCAGGGTTGGGGTCCCCACTGGGGTGCCTGGCCAGACGCCGGGGCGGCCGCCAGCCAGCGCCGTGAATCTTTCCTCTACCGCTCCGACAGCGACTATGACATGTCGCCCAAGACCATGTCCCGGAACTCATCAGTCACCAGCGAGGCGTAAGCATTCCCTAACCCCACCTGCCAGCTGCTCCAGGCCTGGCCCTTTCACAGGCTGCCCTTCCCAGCAAGGAGGGGGCACGCTGCCCAAGCCCCCAGGGGAGGGCAAACGCCCCCCTTCCCCCTGTCAGGAGCTCAGTCCCTTATAGCATGTCCATCCCGTGAGTGCCCATCCTATCTCTGCCCCCCACCCAGCCACACCTAGCCCCTCCCTCAGTTCAAGCCCCTACCCTTGTCCATACAGCCCCCACCTACCCATTGGCTGCTGGGGCCAGGCCCCACCTCAGCCTGTGTCTGTAGCAAGGAGGGGAGACCCCCCAGTTGAGGCCCCCCCACCGCTGCCGCCACTGCTTCCTCCCAGAATCCACTTCTGCTGAGCAGCCTCCCCTCCCCTCCGCCAGCCCTTCCTAAGCCAGCTTCCCTCATCATTGCCACCTACGGAGGTGTGAGCACCCCCAGACCTGCTCAGCCCCCTCCACTCTCATTGGATCCTCCAGCCCTTGCCCTACCCACCAAGGTACCCATCTCACACACACCCACACACCCCAGGCCCCTTTCTGCCCTACTCCCCTCCCTACCCACTGCTCTCACCTGCCCCCACCCACCTGAGCCCTTCTCCTTACCACCATTTCCTTCAGGACTGGCCCCTGCAGCGTGTTCACTCTTGTGAGGTGTGAGTGCCCTCTCCCCCCACCCTAAGGAGCCCCCTCCCTGCCCACCAGCCTCCCTGGGCCTGGCCCCCACAGAGTGTCCCCCAGGAGAGTTGCTTCTCTGGCGCCCCCCCCCCCTCCACTCCCAGGCCCTTTGGCATCCCACTGTGCGGACCCCTGACCTACCCCTGTCCTGGATTACAGGTATGCTGAGGACCTCATCGTGACGCCATTTGCCCAGGTGAGACCTCGCCCCCGAGGAGGGAAAGGACTCCAAACCTCCCCCACGCTTGGGGACAGGGGCCCAGTACCCTCTCCTCACTGCCGTCCTGATCCCAGGTGCTGGCCAGTCTCCGGAGTGTTCGCAGCAACTTCTCACTCCTGACCAACGTGCCCATTCCCAGCAACAAGTAAGTTGAGCTGGGCCCCAACGGCCATGATCGTGAGCTAGGCACAGCTGGGTCCACGGGGGGTTCTGCCTTGTGACCTCAGGCAGGCGCTTGATCTGTCCGTTCAGGTAACAGCTCCCTCTGAGCCCGTAAACTCTTGCCATTCAAATGCCTAAGACACAGAAACCTTTATACATAAAGACTGAGGGTCCCAGATACAGGGTGGTGAGACCATAGGCGGCCAGTCACCCCGGCCTCGGGGCCGCTCCTGCCCTTATGCTAACTTGCTGGACAGATAGGATCCTGGGGTGTATCTGCTCCCCCTTCATAAAATAAGAATTTAATAGCTGCCCCACTAGATGGCTGCTGTGAGGAGTCCAGAAGATGACAAATGGAAAGTGCTAAAACATTGCCCAGCACATAGTAAGTGCTCGCTGAATAGGAGTACTTCTTTTGGGTCAGGGGTATGGCTGAGAGCAGCTGGTCCCTCTGGGAGGTCTGGGGGCCGGGGGAGCGGGTGGGGGGGGGCATGGAAGGAAGCAGGAACTTTGGAGACACAAGACCTGACCCTACTGCTGATCAGCCATGTCGTCTCCAGGAAGCTGGTTCACCTCCTTGAACCTCAGTTTCCCTGTCTGTAAAATGGGTTCTTGTGGGTTCTGTGAGAGGCTGCAGAGTACATGGCAGCGTGCCTGGGACACACTGAGTGCTCAGCAAAAGGAGTATGGGCACCACTCACGGAGAGGGGGGCAGGGATCTGGAGGGGCCCAGGGTGGCACTGGAGCCCCATTTCTTTGCAGGCGGTCCCCACTGAGTGGCCCAACCCCAGTCTGCAAGGCCACGCTGTCAGGTAAGCCCAGGGATAGTGGAAGAGGGCCCCTCTTACTGCCCAAGTGGGGATCCCTCGCCCAGGGTAGTTGATTCATCCCCTTTCCCAACACCGCACTCACCTGGCAGACCCCATCGCCACGGGGCCGGGGCCTCTGAGGGCCTGCCTGTGGGTCCTCCCCGTCACCACCCTGCTGCCCCTTCTCCAGAGGAGACATGTCAGCAGTTGGCCCGCGAGACGTTGGAGGAGCTGGACTGGTGTCTGGAGCAGCTAGAGACCATGCAGACCTACCGCTCAGTCAGCGAGATGGCGTCCCACAAGGTGTGTGGACCTCGCCTGTGGACCTCGCTGGCCGGCAGGGCGGGGCCAGTCCCTGGGTGGGGCTGTGGGTGGGGCTATTCCTAGGCAGAGCCTGTGGGGCGGGGCCTGGGGCGGGGCCAGCAACAGGGCGGTCCCAGTGGGCAGGGCCAATCTGTGGCTAGGGCTATAGGGTGGGGGCACAGCTTCTATAGGTCTTTACTTATCCAGGACCTAGGGAGCCTGGTGTGTGTGTGTGTGTGTGTGTGTGTGTGTGTCCATCCTGGGTGTGTGTGTGTGTGTGTGTGTGTGTCTGTCCGTCCGTGTGTGTGTGTGTGTGTGTGTGTGTCCGTCCGTCCTGGTGTGTGTGTATGTGTCCATCCTGGGGTGTGTGTGTGTGTGTGTGTGTGTACATCTGTCCATAGACAATCATGTTTCTTGGGGCGGGTGGTGTGCTTGTATCATCTATGGGTATGTACCTGCGGCTGAGTCTGTGTGGCTGTCCATTTGTTGGCTGCACATTAGCAGTGTGGGGCGGGGGTGTGTTCCGAGAGACGGCCAGGCGTGGAGTACAGATGTGTACCTATGGAGGGTGTGGGTGTGCACAGGCGATTATGCAGGGTTGTGTGTGGGTCTGGGCCGGAGGGATGTGTATGTCTATAGGAGTGAGTTGGTCCACATTTGTGGTGTGTATCTCCATGTGTTTGTGACTCTCCGTGTGTGCTGGCACACGTACGCGTGTGCTTGCAGGGGAGGGTACAAGCCTTCCATGGACAGCTGTGCAGACCGTGCCCTGCACAGCTCCAGGGTCACCGTTCAGAAAGTAGGCCGAGTGCCTGATGCTTCCTGGAGTGTGCGGCTCAGTGGCCGCCCCTGTGGGAGGAAGCAGCTCAGGAAATGACTGTGCAGGTGGGGGTGTCTGTTGGGGGCCGTGCATATGCCTGTGGGTGGAGATCTGTCTGGGAACATATAAGCCTGAGGGTGGCTGTGTCCCTGAGGGTGCGTTGAGCATCTGAGCATGTGACTATCTCTGAATGTGAATCTGCGAGTGTGTGTGTGTGTCTGTGTGTGTGTGTGCTCCCTTATGGATTTGTCAGGGTGTGTTTGTGTCTAAGGGCACGTGGGTATATGTGTTTGTTTGAAAGTGTCTGTGGGTGTGTTGAGTGTGTGTTTATAAGTGTGTCCCGTATCTGAGTGTTTGTCCCTTGGCGTGTGTCTCCATGTCTGGGTGTGGGTCTGTGATCTTGGAAGGGGCGTGTCTGAAGGCATTTGTATCTCTATGGACTCAGCTCTGTACCTACAAAGGTGTTACCCGTCAGAGTTGTGACTGTGTGTGTGTGTGTGTGCGCGTGCGTGTGGTCAGGGTACCACTAAAAGCATCTGGACATCTGTGTGTGTTCAGTGTGCCCAGTGTCTGGCTGTGTTAGCGTGGAAGGTGTGTCTCAGAGTGTTCGTATGTCCGTGAGTGTGGGGAGCGTCTGGGTGTGTGTCTTTGTCTCTGGATGTGTCCATGGAGGAGGCATGTCCTCGAGGGGTGTGTGCTGCCCTGCCTATCCCGGCAGCCCCACTTGGGCCTGGCTGAGGTCTATGGGCTCTGATGCCCCTTTAACGCCCCCCCACCCCCGGCACCAGCTGACATCACATGCAGCCTGCCAGTGCTGCAGTGAGCACGCACACACAGGCGCACAGACGGAGCCCAGAGCCCCTGAAGCCGCCTCCTGGGACCCTCGCCCTGCCCCTCCATGGGCAGGGGTCCCTGGCCACCTCCGACCACTGCTGTGGGGGGGCCCGCAGAGGCCAGGGGCTGGCAGACCATGTAACCAGGGCTGCCACCGGGAGCGCGGAGGGGAAGGGAGCCCCCAGCCTTGCTGGGCCGGCCCAGGCCCCTCCGCGGCTCCCCCTTCCACTGCCCACCTGCCCAGCACCCCACCCCCACCCCAGACTGTGGCTGCCAACCCCAGGACTCCCCAAGCTCTGCCCCTGTGCGCGGCAGCCCTGAGCGGGGCTAGACTCCAAGATGCCCTTGGTGGATTTCTTCTGCGAGACCTGCTCCAAGCCATGGCTGGTGGGCTGGTGGGACCAGGTAGGGGACCTCGGGGTGGTGGATGGGCAGGAGGCCCTCTGACCTCTGACCCATCAACCTCTGGTCTGAACTTGTGTGTTCAGCTGTGCACGTGTGTGGCCTGGAAATGAATGCTTATGACTGTGTCTCTGTGTGTGGCCCAGGGCTGGGTGTAGATGGTGGGTGGCTGGGGGTGTGGATCTCTCTGGGTGTGACTGTCGGTACACACATGTGTGTCTGCAGTGGTGTGGGGCCACCTACCTATATGCTTGTTTGCCTGGGGCATGGTGTGGCCCTGTCTGAGATCCTATGGCTCCGATTGTATTGTATGTTGGACATGTTTGTGAGTCTAGAACTACATGATTTTTCTGGGGCATGTGACCTCGAGTGTCAGTGACCACCTTATTGTACATGCTCCTTGATTTACGTGTCTGCGGCTGTGTGAACTGTGTAACAGAAATCTGTGTGGTTTGTGACTTTGTGGGTCCATCTTGCGTGTGCGTGTGCGTGTGCGTGTGTGTGTCTCTCTTTCTTTACGTGTGCCCAGGGTCTCTGGGCAGCACTGGGTGGAGTAAGTGCCCATCCAGGGTGGGCACGTAGGCTTACCCTTCCTGCCCAGTGTCCCTCTTGCATCTCTGGACACTGTCGGCTTCTGCTTTTGGGGTGCTTTGGCAGCTGGGAGGCGGGGAGCTGGTGCCCTTTCTCCTCCTTGCACAATGTCACCGCAGATGCTGTGTGAAGTAGCATGGGGGCGCCAGGAGAGGCCCCTTCATCTGTGCATCTGTCCGCCTCCTGGGGGCAGGGGAGAGGGGGCGATGATGGGGAAACCCCTCTCACGGGTGAAGAACTAGGGCTTCCTAAGCTCACCGTTCTCCCCTGCTCCAGACAAACCTTCTCTTTGCCCAGAACTTGGCAACTGTGTCCCTTCCTTCCCAACTGGGCTAAGTGCCGGAGGCCAGGACTCCCAGGGAGTGGGGTCCCTGTCTGGGGACACAGGGGCCAGGAGTAGCTCTGGGAAGGCAAGGGTTAAGGGGCCGCAGCCTACCCCGCCTTTCCCCCAAGCCCAGAAGCTGGTTGGAAAGGGAGTTGCTAAGGAGACTCCCATCTCCATGGCAATGGGATTCTCCTGATACCTCATTGGCTCCCTGTTAGGAGCCCCTCCCTCCCACAGGTGCCCCTCTGGCTCCTCCTTGGGGGCAGAGGGAGAGAGTATGGACCGGGGAGCCCCACTTCCTCAGGCAAGGAAAGAGATGCCAGGTCTCCCCAAGCCTGGGGACTCCCCAAGCCTGGGGACTCCCATCGGGAGCTGGAGGAGAGGAAGGGCTGACCCCTCCCCTCTGGCAGCGTGCTGGGGGCTCTGTTGGCTGAACAGAGAAGTAGGAGGCACTCACGGAGTCTTCGGAAGTTTCTTGGGCGAGGCTGACTTCCCCCCTTTCCCTCGCCTCCATCATTCCTTCCTTTTTGCCTCCACCTTAGTTCAAGAGGATGCTCAACCGGGAGCTCACACACCTGTCAGAGATGAGCAGGTCAGGAAACCAGGTCTCTGAGTACATCTCCTCCACGTTCCTGGGTGAGTGAGGGGCAGCCCGCGCAGGGGTGCACACCTGGGCTGGAGGGCCCCCCAGACCTCGGGTCCTGTTGCCCGCCTTTGCCCAAGGTGGACTCTGACTCAACTCTCCAAAGGCCAAAGTCACCATGGTCAAGAGTTCCCATACTCATGATGCCCCCAAATCCAGTGGGACCCTAACTTCTGTAGAACACCACCTTTCAACTGAAAAGCTCTCCCAAACTCAGGGGAAGCCCTTGGAACTCTGAAACTCATGACCCCAAGAAACCCCCAAACTCAAATAGGATTCCTAAACTTGATAATGCCTCCAGGCTGAGCCCTGGCCGGGTGGCTCAGTGGGTTGGAGTGTTGTCCGGATGTGCCACCGGGTTTGTGGGCTGGATCCCTACTTGGGCACCTGCTGGAGCCAACTAATGAACGATGAATGCGGGGCTTGGCAAGTCTATGTTCCTCTCGCTCTCTCTTTCTCTCTCTGTCTTCCTCCCTCTTCAACCAATACTTGTTTTTAAAAAAAAGATAAGAAAATGCCTCCTGCTCTGACCGGTTTGGCTCAGTGGATAGAACATCGGCCTGCGGACTCAAGGGTCCCAGGTTCGATTCCGGTCAAGGGCATGTACCTTGGTTGTGGGCACATCCCCAGTAGTGGGTGTACAGGAGGCAGCAGATCGATGTTTCTCTCTCATCGATGTTTCTAACTCTCTATTCCTCTCCCTTCCTCTCTGTAAAAAATTAATAAAAAATATTTTAAAAAAGAAAAAGAAAATGCCTCCAGGCTGAAAAGCCCCACAAAAGTTGTTAGAATCTGCAAACTTGGAGTCCCCCAAATTAAGAAGAGCCCCCCAAATTCAAGAGAGATGTCTAGACTCAGTAGGGCTCTCAAATGTAAGGAAACTTCTGCCCTGAAGAATCCACAAACAACCTCCAAACTTTAAATAAAAAACCTTCAAGCTGGAAAGTCTCCCACATTCAATAGTATCCCCAAACTTTAGGTAATCAAACTCAACAGACTTCTAAAGCTTAAGAACCGGAAGAGATTCCCCAAACTGAGGAGCATTTCCTCTCAGGGGCACCCTGATGCAGAGTACCCCGCCTTTATCGGAACCCTCAAGCTCCTGGAATCTCCAGTTCACCATACCCTCTGAACTCAAGAGCCCACGCTGAGAACATTCCTCACAAATGCAGGATTTCACCCTCACAGTTTATCACCAAAGGTTCCCAAAGTCAGGAGGTGTCTACCCCACCCCAAGTTTAAGAGAAGGTTCTGATTTCCAAATGCTCCCACCAGGGGGGATGTGGCTGTGCCAAGTTCTGAGGTCCAGCCAATGGGAGCATGGCAGGCAAATGACCCCAGTAGGGCCCTGTCATTGACTGGGGCCCGGGGGTGGGGGGCAGGTCACAATGGGTGGCCCTGACTGGGCTCTGGAGGCCCTTGAAAACTCAGAAAAAAGGCTCCAGGGCCTACCTGCCAGGCAGACTGGTGTTACCCAGTAGGGGTGGAGGTCCATGGAGCCGAAGACCATCCTTCTCTCCCTCCTCCCAGCACTGGCCACCACCACCAGTACTCTCCGTCACCATGGAGTTGTCTTCCCAGCCACCTCCAATCAGGGCAGGCAGACTCTCTAACATCCCCACCCCACTTCCTGACTTCCATGCCACCCCCCTGCCAAACCTTGCGATTGGGCTGGGGCCACTTCCCAGCTCCTGCCTGGCAGGCCCCAAAGTCCCCACCCCAGCCCACCAACTTCCCAGAAAAATTCCTACCTCCCCTCTGGTTTCCAGCCATGAGTAACCAACAGCATGACACCCAGAAGGGGTCTTCTGTCCTGGGCAAAACTTCCCAAAGCTAATGGGATGGGGGCTGAGGGCCAGATGAGGGGATCTCTGAGGGGGACCCATGCTTGCTCTCCTCCATCTTCTACAGACAAGCAGAATGAAGTGGAGATCCCATCGCCCATGATGAGGGATGGAGAACGGGCACCTCGGCCGAGACCCTCCCAGCAGCCCCCACCCCCGGAGCCACAGTTCCAGCCTATGTCTCAGATCACGGGGGTGAAGAAGATGACGCACAGCAGCAGCCTGACTGACGCCAGCATACCCCGCTTCGGGGTGAAGACAGACCAAGAGGAGCTCCTGGCCCAAGTGGGTGGGGGCCCAGCAGGGGCTGGGCTGGAGAGGGGTAGGGTTTCCTGGGGAAGGACTGGGTGTTGGGTGAGCCTGAGATGCGGATTGGGGGTGGACGGGTCCCCGGAGCATTCCTATGAAACCTTTCGTAAACCCACACAGTGTAAAATCAAGCCGTTGCCGTTAATTTATGTGTCTTTATTTGGTTTACTAGAGGCCCAGTGCACGAATTCATGCAAGGGTTAGGTCCGCCCCGATCGGGGGTGGGACCAGCCGGGGGAGGGGCCTTGGGCGATTGGCTGGCCTGCCCTGCCCCCTGGTTAGCCTTTTATTATATAGGATGACCAAAACACTTAATTACATCCAGTTTTACATGACGTGTAACACCCTTACAAGCTCTCTCAGGCTCTTCTGACACTTAGGACACTTAGGACAACGCTAATGGTTGCACAGGATGAACTGAGGGAAAGCACAGGTGCTCACAGACACAGTTCACAGCTCGGGTGCCCGGATGCCCAGGTGCCCCGTGCGGTCCTGGGAAGGAGTTTGGCAGGGCCGCTCGCTGCTCAGGGTGCTGCCGCCCGTGTAACCGCTGCTGCAGAACAAACGCCAAGCACTGTTTTCTGTTTTGGCTTTTCACCTCTTTTTGTAAAAGCAAAAACCCTCTTTGGATTTCCTTCGGTGAGCAGAAACAGGTCCTAATGAAGGCCTGTCCTAAAAGCCAGGGGCATGACAGGAACTTTCTGAGACTCTTGGAAGCAGGAGCAAAAAGGAGCTAAGCAAGGAGGTGGTCTCCGTGGGAGCCTGGCCTCAGCTGGGCCTCACGGGGAGCCGTGACAGCACCGCAGAGAGGAGCCCACCTTGAGGGGAGCGCACCGGCCTCTGTAGCCCCGTGTCATCACTAGCTGGGGGCTGCCCCAGCGGGGGTGGCATCATCCCCTCCATGTAGCTCCTGTGGGGGCAAAAGCAGTTTTCTGGAGAATGGGGCAGCCGTGAGCCTTAGAAGCATCAGTCCCCGCAGCGAGGAGGTGGGCCAGTGGCCGGTGAAGGGGATTTGGGCAGAACCCCAGCAGTGTGCACTGCAGGCCAGACGTCGGCCTGGCGTCGGACTCTTCCGAGAGACCTTGAGCCGAGGGGCCCTCGCATTGAGTTGTACAGTAGACGTGCTGCTGTCTCAGTGCTCACTCCACCGACATTTATTGTAGCTATCTGTGAGCTGACCCTGGCCCGTGCTGCCTTAGGTCCCCCCCACCCCCCATGCGCTCTAGCTGGGCCCCCTGCTGGGCCCCCACCCACTTGAGCTGGCACTGTTCTGGATCCTGGGAAGACGTGGAAAATTAGCCCATGTTTCCTTCCTCCTGGCCCCCATGAGCAGTTTAGCTCGAGGCTACAGGGTCTTGGGTAAGTGACATCCCTTCTCTGCCCCTGTCAAATGAGACCAAGCGCCTAGAGCAGTGCCTGGCAGATGATAATCGCTCCACAGACAGCCGCTGTGGTTGCTTTGCTGTTTCTCCGCCCAGTGGGCCCTGGGCTGTAAATTCCATACTACTGAGCATGCCACCCACCGGGTCAGCACTAGAGGCGCTACCTTCAGACCTAAGCCCTCACAGGCTCCTGATGTCTGGCCTCCATCTCCTCCAGGAGCTGGAGGACCTGAACAAGTGGGGCCTGAACATCTTCCACGTGTCAGATTATGCCAGGGGCCGCTCCCTCAGCTGCATCATGTACACCATATTCCAGGTAGGGGGGCGGGGGGCTGAGTGGGGCCGGAGGGGCAGTGAGAGGGAGGGGCGAGGGGCGGGG